ATCACCCTCAGTGCTCACCATGCCCGTCTCGATGACCACCTCCACCAAGTCGTCTCCTCTTCAACCAGCCTTAGCATCGACCACAATCTCCTCGAGTTTCCTTCCCCCATATTCACACTCTGGCCATTCTCCCCACTCCAAATGATGCAACGATGAACCCCATCAACTCTCGACTCCGCCTTCAATTTGACGAGGTCGTCGAGTTTGCGTCACTTTCCGAGTGGGCAGTCGCACGTGAAGAACAAGGGTCGATGAGTGGTGAGGCGCATCAAAACAGCTTCAAAATTCTACTAGAAGACGCTGGTTATCCCCCATCTTCGGCGTACTTTTACAAGTTGCGGGCAGTGGCAATACATACAAAGGTCCCCGTGCAGCTAGGCTATTCAAGTGTACGCAGCGAAACACAGTCTTTTCACTATTCGATACTTTTAAAAATAAACCTTGATTCACCTTCCCTCGTTGATCGCTTTGGTTCCCTCAGCATCTCTGGTGACGCTTCATCGAGGATAGAGACGGAAATAGCATACATGAAACCCCTTGAAGGATCATTGTATACCACCGAGATTATCAAATTTGGAGTTTATAGAGGGATGCTGTGGTCTGTCACAATGCTGCCCACTTCGCTGTTGCTCTTAGAGCCCCCTCCTAGTATGTCCCTCTTTATCGATTCGTATCGCCACTAATATTCTCTAAAAAAAGGCAACAAAGGCAAACCAAATCCGTTTGAACGCTGTAGGGGGAGCCCCGAGAGAGCAAGACCGTCTCGTCGCGTGGTCGACCGGAAGCAGCCGTACAACAAGGTGACAGACGCGTCCGCTTATACATATTGGGTTCTCGCTCGTCAGGCGAGAGAAGGCAGAGAGTTTGATGTAGTCGATTTGCGATCCGGTGTTGTCGTCGCTTGTGATCGTCTCGGCTGGGATCTCTCCGACTCGCGGGTCTATGTAGAATGGCTGTGATTTCTGTGGATGCACGTATATAGACATTTTTATTCGAATCCATTTGTAGCATAGAAGCCGAGTTGTTGAATTCAAAGCCAGCCTCCATTTACAAGGTGCCCAAGTGTCACACCGTCAGTACATTGAAAACTAGAAGCACACGATGACATCGGGGAAAAACTTCGTGTTTGCACAGAGCAATACAAATTGAACTATAGGACAAACAAGAGACTGTAAAAAAGGATGACTCGTAAAAAATGAGTAGGAAAAAGAAAACTGGCACAGAAAAGCCACTAGTGTACAGCACGGAAGTTCGATGGAGAGAATACCGGGCTGTTATGACACGTTATGACATTTCTAATAGTCATCGTCGTCCTTGTTCCCCTTCTTCTTGGGGCTCTTCTTGGAGCCTCCTCCACGCTTCCGTTTCTTTCCAGATCCATAGTCTGATCCTGCATCGTCCTCAGATGGGGAGATGTCAGCGTCGTCGTCAGAATCGGCCTGAGTACGTCCCACCGAGAGGAAAAGCATTCACACCACTCGTCAGTCACATTTAATTAGACACCAGGACATACTGACCTTCTTCTTACGACGAGGAGCTGCCTTTTTCTTCTTGGGCTTTTCCTCCTCGTCATCATCATCGTCACCATCGTCAGTCTTATGGAAAATGGTCAATACTAGGCATTCACTCAAATAATATCTAGAGTACCTTTTGCTTCTTTCTCGGACGACCAGGCTTCTTCTTAGGTCCCGATTCATCATCTTCAGCTCCAGCTATCATCACCATAAGCATATGGTGGAGAGTATGCAAGATATCCAGACGTACCGACAGCGGTAGGGGGAATGTCCTCGGCTGCAACAGCTTCCGCTTCCCAAGCTGCACGAACCTTGTCTTGATCATCAGAATTGAGGTCACTAAAGCCTTCAATTTGGTCTACAGAGGTATATGCCGCCTTCATGTTCTGGAAGACCTTCTTGGTAGTGCATCCGTAATGACGGTAAGACCTAGATTTCCAAAACAAATAAGAAGACGGTTTCGTAATGACTGCATATTTAGCTCACCAGCTTGCGTGTCCACGGAAATCGGTCAATACAGCGAGACGAAGAGTGCCTTTCTCAAGCTTGGTGCCCTGCAGAATTCCAGAATCATATTAAACAATCAAGAAGTTTATAAGGGTGGATCTGTTAGCTTGATGATCTGGCACTAACCTGGCATGGTTTGGGACCTGCAGAGCGGGAAGCAGACGGGCGTCAGTCACATTCAATCCCACAACATTCCGGCCAAAGTTTTGGTTGAGATGAGAATAGTATCGAGTCCGTAAGACAGAAACTTTGCACTGCGGCTTAAATGCTATGATTCTACAAAATAGCGCGTCGCAGTGTCCGTCGCTCATTCTCAATGACGCATTCCCAGCAAACTCCATGTTGTGCTAGGCTCTAGAGCCGTGTTGCAGCAAGGCTGCACGATCCAAAGTATGATAAATATCAACACTAACCTTTGCACATTGCCCGCGCATTGTTGGCATAATCAAACTTGTAGCTACTCTTCCTGCCGCTGCCTTCGCCGTCGTCAGACATGTTTTTTCAACCCTCGGGCGTAGATGAGGAGGAGTGGGTCGCTAAGAGCGTTAGAAAGGGATCGCAACTGATTGATGGAAGGAGAAAACAGGAGATTGCTCGAGTGAAGCCAAGAGGTCGAATCCAAGAGGCTTGACCTTCGCCCGCGGCAAACTCCGCTCGGCTTGAGCGGTGAACTTTATTTGGTCGTTGGTTATTATTTGGACTCCATCTATCGACTGACCCACCTCTCACAAAAATGGCAAGCTACCAACTATTTCTCGTCGACAATTCCGGAGTTTCTAATCGTGTTTTTCTCTTATCTCACGTAGACCAAGAAAAGAAGAAATGGCGGTCGCAATAAACACGGCCGTGGTCATGTAAAGTCGCTTCGCTGCTCCAACTGCCATCGATGCGTGCCAAAAGACAAGGCTATCAAGCGTTTCCAAGTTCGTAACATGGTCGAGAGTGCCGCTGTTCGTGATATCTCAGACGCCTCTGTCTATCCTGGTTCGTGTGAATTCAAAATCAGCATTATATTCGCTAACATTTGGATTTCTAGAATACACCGTTCCAAAACTCTACATCAAAGTCGTGTACTGCGTTTCGTGTGCCATCCACGCCCACAGTACGTCTTGTCCGTTGGATTTAGTCATTCGTGCTGAGATTTGTCTCTACAGTCGTCCGTGTTCGCTCCCGAGAAGGTCGTCGTAATCGTGCACCACCACCACGTCCTCGTTACAAGGATGGCAAGAGGGTGAATCCAGTGGTGGCTGCCGCAGAAGATGCCAAGGCTGCAGCCGCCCGAGGTGGGGCAACTGCCGCTGCTGCATGAACGGGTTTAGAATGTTATACGCTTCGTTGTATCATTTCCTGCCTAATGACGCAGTACCACCCGGCCTGCAAGGCGGTGGGTTCATGTATGTATCGGTCAGTCTACCGCCCATACGCGGAGTATCGTACACTTTTGAAAGCATGTCTCACGTCAATAAACTCTCGAGTTGTCAGTTGAAGCGGTACTGAGGCAGGTCAGAGTGCGGATGGCTACAGTCTGAGCAAAGGTGACCAGCATCAGGTTCATACCATGATTACGTTTACTACAGCCTTAATAGGCGCTCATGAACGGAATAAGAGCTGTTGTGCCAATTTGAGTCATCCCCAGACTGGCCAACTCAAAGTGAGGGTCAGACCCGACAATAAGGAAATGTCAGTCTCTCTCCATTCTCCACACCGTCCGTGATCCTGGAAACGCATGTTCACCATGAGGCTAATCCCATGAGCTTTGTGCCTGCCTTTCTCTGTTTGGATGTTTTGCGTAGTATCTGGAGCATTAGATTGCCATTTGGGGGCCCCCAACTGAGTCTAGGCTGGTCGATCGCAAAGCGTTGGGGGTCACCCCTTTGGCTCGTAATACGACGAACGTTGTATCACAATGTCCATGAGCTGCATTCTTGTGTCATTGACAGGAGGGGAGGACAGTTAAGGCAGGTTTATTGGTTGCGCCTCCACCTCGTTCTGGAATCGTATTGAGTTTTGGTACAGTTTCGCAAGATAAGAACCGATCGCATGATCCGAATCCTGCCCCTTTCTGTTTACATATATAAGGCGCACCTCTGGCACTCCCGGGAATCCCCCCCTTGCCTCCCCCCACATTAAGTCGGTTGTGAGATGGACACTCAGTGGACCAATTTCGGTACTCCAATCACTAACTATTAACATCTATGACTGATATCAATCATCATAGATACTCCACTTCCCCTCGTGTGGCCCAATGGGCCCGCAGAACTCCCGTTCGACCCCACGCCTTTCAAGTTTGTGGACCTAATCCATGTACTCCTGTAAGAACCCTGACCCATCACCCTCAGTGCTCACCATGCCCGTCTCGATGACCACCTCCACCAAGTCGTCTCCTCTTCAACCAGCCTTAGCATTGACCACCTTTTGCCTGCCTTACCCCCCCTTTCGCCACAGCAACCACAGGATATGCCCTTGGGTGCTGCCGGATCCATCATCAATCTAGAGGCCGACATCCAAGCTTTCAGTGGCTATTTCCTCGGCCCCAGCCAGCAACACCTCCGCCAACTCTTGAACACCATCCTCGTATCACCGTGGCTACTCTCCAACGACTTTGAATCGGAAGGGCACTGTCGGTCAATGCTTATACAGTTTTTGGACAACCAAAGAGGGACGCTTCGGTGTTTATTCGACGGCTGCAAGAAGAAGTTTTCTCGACAAGATAGGGCGATCACCCATATTCGAGTTCATTTGGCGCATCGTCCGTTCTCATGTAGTGGCCAATGTGGAAATATATACTGGTAGGTCTTGGGGCCCAGAACGGTTTGGTTTGATCATCGCTCTGATTGTCAAATCAAGTCGGGAGAGATATGCGTCTAAGGCAAACTTGCGGTCTCACTGGACTAGGAGGTCCGCAAACTGCCAAAGATGGTTAGTTAATCCATACCCTTCAATAAGTCTTCCTGATCGCGTCGCCTATCGGCTTCGTTAACTATAGCTATAAATCGATCCTCGAACAGAATATGAACAGGCACCTTCGTAAATGTGGAGTTGGCCATTCCGTTCAAGAGCCACGCAGATATTCACAACGGAATTACAGTTGATCAAGAAGCCCACAGGTAATTCAGAATGTATATTACTGACTTTGAGTTTATCGGACCTCACTTATGCAGGCATTCGCCAATTATGGGTAATTGCTATATATAATTTGTACCAATATGATGCTATTTTAACATTGAGACCGACCAAAGAGTGTGATGTCCAGTAAAGAAATAAATCCTACTATGCTTCAAAGGATTAGTCGGGACGGTAAGGTGGCGGCTGGCGGACGTCATCGTCTAAATCTTCCTCATAGTCTGCTTGTCTTCCCCTGACCAATGAAACAAAGTTTGCAGCGAGTTGGTCAATTTGTTGTTGAGACATGTTAGGAGGGGCGGCAGCAGCTATCAGAGCATGCGTGGATCGAGGATGGGGTTGTGCTGAGGGGGATGGAGTATTTTGGGCAACTGTATCCGGTATATTTGAGGTCATGTAGTCGCTGGACGATCGTGGGTTTGTGGCTGAACCTTCTGGGGTAACCCCAGCAGGTGTGACAGATTGTGATGGGGTATCAGGTATCTGATACACAGAGTTATTATCCGAGTCTGGCGGAGGTCTTCTCTTTTCCATTGGATACATTTGCGACGATATTGACCAGGCCGGGTCTGTGGAGCGACTATTGCGTCCCATGGGAGGGGGAAGGAATGCGGAGGAGCCGTGTTGCATTTGATACGCTTTTTCACGCCTTTTCAGGCGCCGATATAGGAGGACAAATGCTACAATAAGTGCTAGAAATGCAATGCCGCCTACGACCCCGCCTATGATGGCCGCTGTCTCAGGTTTTTTGGCACTTTGGTCGTTCGTCTGGTCACCGATATCCGGAGAAAGGTTACCAGTAGAATTTCCTTGCGCTATTGATATTGTTGGAATATCCGACAAGGTTTCGATAGAGACGGTTGATAAATTCAGGGAGGGGAGACTCTGAGTGGCGGTGGTGGTGCTATCGGTGAAGACGGAACTGGAGGTAGTAGTAGAAGAAGTGGTCCTCCCGCTTGTAGTCGATGTTTGACTTCCGGTATTCAAATTGACGGCGGAATCTGTCGAATGCACAAGGGTATAGCTTGGCCCAGGCATATTGGGTGTTCGAACGGCTCTGTGTGAATATTATAAGAATACGAGGGAAGGATATCATCGCTAGGGTGCGTACTCGACATAGAACTCGGTCCTCGTGCAGATGCCTCCTTTCGCAGGATCGTCCAGCCATCTCCCGCAGGTCCATGCTATTCCATCTCCAATCTGGGCCTATCATTCGCAATTCCGTGAGAAATTTAAACGTTTTCAAAGGAGAACATGTGCTGACCCAAGCTGTATCACAGAAGTTGAGGATGTTATGCGCTTGGTTTGTAAAGGTGTATATGCATGTTTCCCATTGTACGACTTTGGTTTCTCCGACAGCAACATCCCATCGACTATCTATTCAGCCAGCATCAGAGACGGCGGAGTAAAATATCTGTGTTGGACTCACTTCGTGAGTTGAGTGTTGATGTGATATGTGAACAATCCTTGAAATGCAAATCAGCATTCCCGTATCCAATCACTGTGTTTTTATGTCACCTTGGGATCCGGATTGTAATCTGCCTGTCTGGTGGTCAGGGTGCTAGTTTGGGGCCACAAGAGAGCAAATTGCTTACCGGATGGTAGCAAACCCTATTACAAGATGCTGAACATAGTGTCGTGGTCTGTCTCTTTTCAAACTGGCTACTCATAGATGCGTTTCTGAAGGCAACATCTTCGCATTGTAAAGAATATGTCGTAAGGTCGCTTTC